TTTTTTTTTAAAAAAAAGAAATGCAATGAATTAATATACTATTTTGCCCCTGGGGAGTTCTCCAAAAATATAGAAAGCACTGTTTTAATTTTTGTTGACCCCATTTTTCTTCTAGAGCAATAGGCAGCCAACCATCCAAATTTACTATTAGAAGAACTTGTTTGAAGAATGGGAAAATAATCATTGATGCTAAAAAATGAAAGTAACTGTAGAACAGCCTATTGAGCTCAGTCTGGGACATTTGAAGTAAAAATGTCACAGGTGGTTGATAGATATGACCCTAAATAAAAATCATTTGCTGAATTATGCTCAGAAGATCTACTACCTGCAATTCATCATTTATTGTTCTATTTGTTTATGGATTCTCTATTCTTTTTTTCCCTTTAATTCCCATTATTTAAATCAGTTTTTTTAAATTCACTTCAGAATCAGAGTAGAGCTGGAAGGGACCTTGGAGGTCTTCTAATCCAGCCCCCTGCTCAAGCAGGAGATCCTATACCATTCCAGACAAGTGACTGTTCAGTCTTTTCTTAAAAACCTCCAGTGATGAAGCACCCACAACATCTGAAGGCAAGCTGTTCCACTGGTTAATTGTCCTCACTGTTAGGAAGTTTCTCTTTAATTCCAGGTTGTTTCTTTCCTTGATTAGTTTCCATCCATTGTTTCTTGTCCTGCCCTCTGGTGCTTTGGAAAATAAATTGACCCCCTTCTCTTTTTGGCAGTCTCTCAAATACTGGAAAACTGCTATCATGTCGTCCCCCCCCCCAGTCCTTCTTTTCTCTAGACTAGCCAAACCCAAATCCTGCAACCTTTCTTCATATGTTTTAGTCTCCAGGCCTTTAATTCTCTAACATAAATTCTCTAACATAAATCTCACTATCAGTGTTCATTATGCATATTTGACAGCAGGATAGACAAACAGTGAAAAGAATCCAAAACCACACCTTTTGTTCCTTTCAGATGAACTTCAAGCTTGTTCAGTTGTGATATGACAAACTGAAGTATAATTGAGGAGTCCTTGATGCTCTCTGAGCTTGCTTATTTTCTTGCAGATGTTTCATTACCGAAACTAGATAACATCATCAGTGCTAGTCAGCACTGATGATGTTATCTAGTTTGGGCAATGACATGTCTGCAAGAAAACAAGCAAGCTCAGAGAGCACCAAGGATTCCTTGTGCCAACCCTGAGCTACAAATATTCTCATTTATCAGTAAAGTATAACTGCTAATTGAACACACTGGATATAACTCTTTCTGTGAAATAGAAAAAAGGAGCCAAGTAGCTAACACTCTGTAATGTTTATCATACATTATCATTCTTTAACACCAAAAGATGGAAATTCTATACTGTGTTGACTTGCATAAGGTTCCAGGGCTGTAATCGACAGTTCAGAAAATGCTTTCTACACTTTTGAACAAGTAAGTGATTGTATAAATTGGAATGCCAGCAATTCTATCATGACAGGGCTGATCCAAATTTTAAATTTTCCAATGCCTATGTTGCAATCTCTTTTGGGGCACTTTCAGAATGCCACCATTTCCACACCCCAGTATGACAGAAGTGGTTTGAAGCCAGCCTATAATCTTTATTGTTGTTAAACAATAACTGGAATGGGTCACTCTTTCTTTTCAGCTATTTGATAAGAGAACTGAAAGAGTAGCACTTGGTCATCCCTTTCCCATCCTTAACTTTGCCTCACCCAGTGATTCCTTTGCCCTCCATGGGAGGTTGTTGTTTATGGGAAGGTGATTCAAAGGCACTTTTTTAAGGAAACAAGGAAGAGAAAGCTGACAAAACACTATGACCACTGAACAGGAGAGACCATCTTAGCTCAGGAGCCAATGAGAGTTATGTTCCTGCTAATGGGGAAATGGTTACTCTCAAGTTTTAGTATAGGATTTTCTCAAAGGCTTTCCTTTGAGTCCACATATATAATATTTATTTTTGGTGCCCTCCAAAAGGTGTAGAAAATTAGTGAGACAATACTTACCTTTGCAGAAACTATATTTATTCTCTTCAGTAAGGCAGCTAATGCAACCTCTGTGCAAGTTCCTTCAGTAATAGTTGAACCATCCTGTGATCTTGAATATTGGAGGGATCATCAAGAGCATTATACTGAGAAGCCCTACATCAGCTCTCACAGATACTTCAGAGCCAACTGAGTTGCTGAGAATAATGTGTAATCTAATTCCAGTTTATACAAATTAAGCATTCTTTTGTCTAAAAAGTACTATGAACCTTGATTCCTTTGGCTGGACATGAATAATAGAATAAGTACACTTTCAACATAAAACCTTGTTTCCACTGCCACATCCTATCATATTTTAAAGTAATTATTAACACTGCAAATTTGGCAAAACTGTATGGGTTGTAAGACCAGTAAAAACTCCAAACCAGAAGGAAAATGATGATGGTGATTATGATGATACCCTCTGTTGTTAGTTTTTTTTTTTAATTCTATAGATGGGCTAGGGAAAGTTTCTAAACCTATTCATCAAACCTCAGAAACATTTCGTTCTTTCATATTTCATATTCTGAATATATCCTAGTATGATGTGATTAGGAATTAGAATTGTCCAATTTAAATTCACGAGGTTATACAAAAATCTAATTTTTGGATCAACAGAAATATCAAGAGTCACAGGTATAGGATTAAAGAAATGCTGTCAGCTGAGAAAACACAAAGAAAGAGAAAATACTAGATTTATTCTAGGCAGAAATTTAACCCCCAGCTCCCCACACTTTAGAAACACTTCTCAGCCTTTTGACTAAGTTCAGGTATAAATATATTATATCCTTGCCAATATATGTGTAGTAAGATTGGGAAAGCATAGCATTATTTGGATCCCTATGAAGAAACATAAGCAATGTAGATGAGAAGGACATAAAAGGTTTGGATAATAAGCTTTATGAATAAGTTAGGAATTTGCTTTACTTACTGCAGCACTCAAGTACAAAATATTAATTCCCTAATTATGTACATGAATTTTCAGTAAATGATTATGAAGACTAAATAGATCCTGTCTATATGGAAAAGACTGGCAATTTTGCTGTCAGAAGAGGTACAACAGATATCAGTAGGATATGCCTTGAGTATCAAACCCACAAAAGTTGTGAAAAGTTTGGACTATATTTTACAGGTTATCTACTACATGAACTCCAAGAAAGATTAATGAGAATCTGGCGGGGGAGCGCTGTGGATTAGGCTCAGTGAGGCAAGCGGTGGCTTGTGTTGTTTCAGCTCCAGTCCAATCCTGTCCCTAGAGAGTTTGGCAAAACTGGCTATCTCCACCTGATTTGCCAGGAAACTTTCACCCCACCCCTGGCAGTGCCAAGTTTCTATTGTAGAGAGAGGGAACATTCGGCGTCAGACATACTGTCTGTTCAGATATCTTAGTGATAGATTTGGAGAGCTCTGCAGTAACCCAGCCATTTGTAGTTCTTAGATGGGCCTGCTTTCAGAAATCAAACATCAAGACTGCACTCAGCTTTTTGATTCCTCACTCCCATCTGAATGCACCTGGTTGGCTCTCCCAGATCCTACAACCTTGGTGGTAGGGGAGTGTGCTCCACCAGAGTTTTCCCAAAGTTACCTTTTTCCAAAACATGAACATCTTTTTGGCCCCATCCTAAATGGTGCCAAGACATACTTCAGTAAATAAGCAACATGCTGCAATTTATTGTTGTAAGCCAGCAGTCAGACATTAGTTTGAAATATTTATGCTTTAAAGACTTTGCCTTTGGCAATAGTCTGACGATATAATGGCATGCATGCATCTGCCCAAAGCTATGTGAACTTTTGATTAACTCTATGCTGCCTTCTATTCAATTTTCCTGCTTGTTGACTTTAGCTGTTGTGTGGTTTTCAGTATGTAGGTTTATAGAGAGGCTTTATTATTGATAAAATATTTTATTGTAAATTATTTTATAATTATTTCTACTTTTTGAAACCCTAATAAGTTTAAAATAAAAAAATGTCACGTTTACTTGAAAAGAAGCTAGTCTTGAATTTAAGAGAAACACACAATCCTACACAACAAGACTGGAAATAAAAATTATTCTTCCCTTGCTCATCAAGGGTCACCAGTTCCATCTAAAAACCTGTCTAGGAGATTTCTCTTCCAGCCAATAAACATTTGTTTTACTAACCCATACACAAACACGCACCCCTATTTGCATTTATAAGTATGTAAATGCCAGTTAAAAGCCACACTAAAAAAAAAGAACAGAAGAAGAAATGGGTTTATAGTGATGAAATTATTGACTTCTAATTAAGTATTGAAATACAATATTTCTTTTATAAATTTAGTTGATTCTCCATATGCATATTCTAACCACATACTCTTATAAATCTCTCTCACACACAGAAACATAGAGATACTTTCTCCTTTTAGCAGAAAAATTCAAAGGGAAGGAAACAAAAGGATGGAGATGGGGGTAAGGTAAAAGGAAAAGGGATGGTGGTCATGATGGCAGTAGAACCAAAACTGGATAGCAATGACAAGGGAAGAGCTAACTGAACAACTAGCACCAAATAAAAATTTGAGAGAAACTTCAAATGTTATCTATAGACTGAAGCATTTGAAGGCCAAACTTCTCTAGGATTAAAAAGGGGCAGATAGAATTCTTGAGCAAACAGAATATGAAGATGCCACGTGATGGAAATTGGGTTGAGATTACACAAAATATGTCTTTTTGGTGTCATCAAAACCGTAATACCAACGTATGAAATTATATCAAATTTCTGTTAGACTCAGTAAAAATTATCTTTGGCAACATTATAACTTCAATAACCTGAGCAGCTTCATTTTGCAAAATTATGAACTTTTTCTCTGTTCTATCGAAGATGATAGAACAGATGATTCACCCAGGATCAGATTCTGAGCAATCCTAAAATGCAATGCCGTGATATCCCTTTTCCAGCTCAATTGCAGCTCTTGAATAAAGCAAACTAAAACAATGCAAACAATAAAGGATATATTTTTTTCTCCCGTTTTAGGTTGTCCTGGTGCCAAAAAGAATGAATTTCTGACCAGTGTTCTAGATGCACTTTCCACAGATATGGTGCATGCTGTCTCTGATCCTGCAGTGTCTTCCAGCAGGTGGGTGGTTCTTTCCAAAAAGGGGTGGACATTTCCTCCTTTTCGTAAAACCTATGCAGGATTTTGCTGCCAGAGAAACTATTTTTATTTCTCCGGCTGGTTCTGTGGTGTTTATTAGCATTCCCTTGCTGATTAAAGGCCTCTCTATCTTTTGAACATTCACCAATAGTCCATTTGAAATGGCTGAAAATTATTGGTGCAATAACAGAAATTAAAGAATTAAATAAATCATTTAAAATAAGAACTGTATTTTACACATTAAAAGTTCATGTTTTTGTTGTTTTTAGTACCTACATTTCATCCATGACAAATAAAATCATAGTACGAATTTTGTCCATATAAGCACAAAGCAATCGTTATTGGATATTATTTCTTTTTGATGCAGCAAAATGGAATATAAAGTATCAGATCTTGTATGGTTTACATTATTTTTGGGGTTTTTTCCCTGCTGTTTTTATTCTGCTGTTGTTGTATAACATTCAGCACTGTTTGGAATAGAGTGGCATAGAAATGTCAGCAGTAAAAATAAAATTTAGCAGAACAGTCCCAATTAAAATTACTTATAAGTAAAAAGCTTTGAAAGCGAAGCAACTTAATCTGCGCGTGACTAATTCAGTTTTGACCAGATTGAATGGGAAGTACTCTTGTTGGATCTGGGCCATAGGACTGTGGAAATTAAAGATTCCAGACTCTACTCTGGAGGAGTGGTGGGTAAGAAGACAAATTTGGATCTACTAGTACATCTCTGTGTGTTTTATATAAGGTTGGCTAGGATATCTATGTAAGATCCAGAATTCATCAGCTTAAAACAAACTCACTGACATAATTAATTATGAGTTTAAGTTTTAAATGAGATTAAATCTGCATTTAACTTGCTGCCTGCCAACTGTCAAATAATAAAACACTTTTAAAAGTTAAGTTGCTGAAAAAAGGGTGGCTAGAGGAAAAACCGAACTTAAATCTTTTTACATGAAGGGATATGCATTTCTGTTGCAGCCCTATACTTTGAAACAGCCCCCTTCTTGAGGCAAAATAAGTTGAAGGCCTCTGGAGACTGGTAAAACTGAGTTTAGGGAGAAGTGATGAGATGCCATCTGTTCTTTTATTATAGATTTGGATTTGTGGTATTATTTCAGTTTTAATTCTGTTTTTAAATATATATATATATTTATAAACCATTGGGAATCCTAATAGATTATGGTGGAGGAGAGAGAGAGAGAGAGAGAGAGAGAGAGAGAGAGAGAGATGGATTATTGACAAAACAGTACATTCCAGATGTTTTAGTAGCCCCATTAATACCTGCAATCTTAAGAACTTTAAGATATACAGTGGACAAAGTGAAATGAACAATTCAATTTCATTTGGAATGAAAAATGGAATAAAGGTCAGTATTGTTTATATATAAAAACTGTGGAATGAAGAAGTGAAATATTCAGTCTTGAAAATCAATGTGTCCAGGATTTAAGAAATGTAAAACATGTGTCTCACAATTTAAAAATGAAGTCAATTGACCAAAAAATATTATTTTCTTCAAAGACATTTTTTAAAAAAATACAAGTCATATTTTTTGTGCTGGCATTATTAGAATTTTTACTAATACTTTTTAATTATGAATATGAATTGGTTTTGTCCAGCCATAGCTTTGTTTTGGTTTTAAATCATAACAGTTATTAAAATAAATGGTCAAAAAGCTGTAACAGTTAAAGATGTAAATGTGATGTTAAACTTTACTATGGATTTTGCCCTTTTATGAAAAGTTTTATGATAATCTTAAGCAATAAGAAATAAACAGCCCCTTGATATTAAGTAAAAGATTCAAGATACAGCATGAGTTTCTTACAGTAGCTATCTTTGAAAAGTCTTTATATTCAAAAATGGATGGGAGATGGAGTAATCTGTTTTTATTTGGTCTTGATTTAATGGCAAACTTAAAGACAACTGTTTCCATACTGATATTAAATTGATATTATGTAGATCTTTTTTTGTTTTTATTATTAGGTTCTTAATATTTTTATTAGTTTATTTTAATCACTGTAATATATGCAAGTTCTTCTTTCATTGCATAACCACTACTGTACTGTATGTTTTTGTGTTAATATAGTTTGTCTTTCACTGTTTAATAAAACTAAATTTGATTTAAGAAGGAAGGGAAAGAGAAGAAATATTTTAGCACCAAAGATCCCACAAAACTGGCTTACTTAACTTGAATTCAAACTCTCATTTCCCAATGAAAATCTTTTGAAACCAAATGAATTTAAAATCCACAATTCACCTAGTTATTTACAGTACAATACATTTGTGTTTTGGACTTAAAAAAACAGAATTGAGACATAGGTCACAGTGACTGGCAAATGTGATCTAAAAAAGCAGAGACAATGAAAATATTTTTTAATTCACAACATGCCTATAATATGGAAATTATGTACTGATGCATGTGATAACTTGTTTGCTTTAATAACATTAAATGTTATGTATTCTAGAATTAGTCCTACTGAATATAATAATAAAACTATATAGAACTGAAGTGTAGGTATTAAAAAAAGCAAACAATAACCTTTTAAAATATTTTGAAGAAGAATTAACTTGAGATTTTCCATCTTTTCTCCATGCCAGTCATTCAAGAGTTTATGGGAGAGAAGACAAATGGTGGACAACCTCATCTGCAAAGACGTTTATCTACAGTTTATTTATTTTCCCATGCAATGTTCAGTGTTTCAGGATTGTTGTGCATATTCTAGTGTGTATTACCCCTTGGCATGAGAAAGTAATGAAGAGGAATGTAGTGTAGCTCTTAAACACTTAAACTTGACCCACAGTAATTGAGGCTTCAGGTCATTCCCCACTCCCCAAAGCTGTGGGTGAGCCCGAGACTGCCAGAAGCTATGATAAAAGTATTGTTTTGAATTGACCAAAAGAAAAAAATGTTTAAAATATGAGTAGTCATGTTTAATTAGAGAGCTAGTTTAGGATAGAAGTTTAGGTACCAGGCTAGAAACCAGGAGACCATTAATTCCAGTCCCATCTTAGGAATAAAGCCATCTGAATGACCTTGAGCTGGTCCCTCTTTCTCAGTCCCAAGAAGGAGGCAATGACAGAATAAAAGAATAACAGAGTTGGAAGGGAACTTGTAGGCCATCTAGTCCAACACCCTGCTCAAGCAGGAGACCATACCTATACCATTTCTGACAAGTGACTGTCCAGTCTCTTCTTGAAAGCCTCCAGTGATGAAGCACCCACAACCTCTGAAGGCAAGCTGTTCCATTGGTTAATTGTTCTCACTGTCAGAAAAGTTCTCTTTATTTCTAGGTTGAAGCTCTCTTTGATCAGTTTCCATCCATTGTTCCTTGTCTGGCTTTTGGGTGCTTTGGAAAATAGGTTGTCCCCTTCCACTCTGTGACAGCCCCTCAAATATTGGAACACTGCTATCATGTCTCCCCTGGTCCTTCTCTTGACTAGACTAGCCATGCCCAGTTCTTGCAACCATTCTTCATATGTTTTAGCCTTCAGGCCCCTAATCATCTTAGTTGCTCTTCTCTGCAATCTCTCTAGAGTTTCAACATCTTTTTTATAGTGTGGTGATCAAAACTGGATGCAGTATTTTAGGTGTGGCCCTACTAAGGCTTTATAGAGCAGTACCAATACCTCATGTGATCTTGATTCAATCCCTCTGTTAATAGAATTGCATTGGCTTTTTTGGCTGCTGCTCCATACTGCTGGCTTATATTTAATTGATTGTCCACTAGGAGTCTAATATCCCTCTCACAGCTACTGCTATTAAGCCAGGTTTCACCTAATCTGTTCGTGTACTTTTGGTTTTTCGTGCCTTAGTGTAAGACTTTAGTTTTCTCTATGTTGAATTTTATTTTGTTTGATAGGACCCAGTATTCAAGTCTGTCAAGATCCATCTGGATATTGAGCCTATCATTTAGGGTGTTGGCTATTCCTGCCATCTTAGTATCATCTGCAAATTTGATGAGTTCCCCTTCTATTCCCTCATCCCTTGTTTATGAAGATATTGAAGAGTACTGGGCTTAAGACGGAACCTTCTGGTACCCCACTGCTTACTTCCCTCTGTGTAGACGTCCATTAAGGACTACTCATTAAGTACGGTTTGCCAGCCAGTTACAAATCCATCTGGTGGTGATGCTGTCTATCCCACTTTTTTCTAGCTTACCAAGAAGTAGATTGTGATCTACTTTGTCGAAAAAAATGACAAATCACTTCCCCAAAACTGTGCCAAGAAAAGTGCAGGAACTTGTCTAGGCAGTCACCAGGAGTCAACCCTGACCTGAAGGCACACGCATATGTGCACGCACACAGTTATATTAATTGAACTGAATTTAAATACAAAATCAGATTAAATTCAGTTTTGTCCTCAATTCTACTTTCCAAAATGTTACTATTCACTTTCCATCATTTAACCAATTAATGAACTCCTTCTTTTGTAGGCTTTCAGAACCAGATCCAAACCATACCCTGGAGGAAAGAGTTGTTCATTGGTATTTTAAGCAACTGGATAAAAATGCCAGTGGCGACATTGGCAAAAAAGAAATCAAACCTTTTAAGAAATTCCTGAGGAAAAAATCCAAGCCCAAAAAATGTGTGAAAAAGTTTGTGGAATACTGTGATGTGAACAATGACAAATCTTTGACAGTTCCAGAACTAATGGGTTGTCTAGGTGTAACAAAAGAAGACAATAAAGCAGACACAAAGAAACGCCACGGTAAGTAGAATTTATTTCTAGCTCTTGAACTGTGTAGCTCAATGTTGTTTTTAAATTTTGGCAACTTTAAGATGTTTGGAGTTCAACTCCCAGAATTCCCTACCCAGCCAGAATTCCCTAGCCAGTGAGTCAACACTTTGCAGAGTTGAAAAACAAAGATTTAACTGCTACTGAATAAGATGAGTAGGCAACATCAATGTGGAGTTTGCTTTCGTCTATTCCTTAATGAGTTATTTGTAGCCCAGATTTAGGATGGTTGTTAGCAAGGCCTGAAAACTATTCAGCTCCTTTGAGGGATGACACCCTGGTACTGCCTCTATTTTACCCCCATGTCGTCCCCAGCTGTTATTCCCACTTTCAATAATCAGCTCAGTTCTTACTGAATTGTTTGGGGGTCTTTCCAGTAACTTGCAAAAAAAGGTTAAACATTGTTGTATTTCCACAAAAGGATGTCCCCCCAGCCTAGCTAATAACTTCCTCTCAAGTGTGAATTGTGCTTTTTGAACTGCATATAAAATGGCATTTATCATCACAACACTTGAAGAAGACAGACACTTAAAGACAGACATTAAAACAATAAAAAGCAAAATAAATTTTGGAAATGAGCAAAAGTTTAAAGGCAGAATATTCTGGCAAGAAATGTCATCTGGCATTCAGAAAAAGAGCATGTACAAAATATGCTATTCCTATTAGACACTATTCAGCCTGGGAGAAAGTACCTTACTAAAAGTTAAAGATGTGTCATGAAATTTAACGGTTAGTTATTAATCAAAAGAAATAGAAACCTTTAGAATTCCGTAAAGCGGATAAAATTATTATAATACATATACAAAATAAACAAAGCTTCAATCACATTGCCATGACCACCATCTTGATTTTTTTTATCTTACCTTAGAGACCTTCCTGAATTGTTATTAATATAGCTTACAAAAAATGTGAATGAAGTGGAATGTTTTTCCTGAAAGCAGAAAAGAATTGAGGCTTAGCATAATTTCTGAGAGTATGTCTTTTTTGCAAATATGTATGTGTGTGTATACACATAAATGCATGTGCATGCAAGGAGATGCAGGGGACTCTGACCTTATGCTTACATTGATTGGTTGCCTAGGGTTTGTTTTTTTTAAGTCCAGTTACCACAGCCCTGACTTCAGAACATGAGGGAGAGGGGACAGCTGGAGAACTGCAGAAAGCAGAAAAAAAATAGACATAGAGATGGGATTAGAAAATCAGATTCTTTTGATAGTGCCTGAGGTTTCTTTCATGCTTCATCTTTTGGGGTACATCTTAGTAGCAGAAGAAATGGGGTTGGGAAAAAAGATTATTCCCCTCCATTTCCTGAATGATAGACGGATCTATTGCTTGTTGATCATTAATTTGTCTTGACTTAGAAATCTTTGTGCAAATATGCAAAGGCACAACTGGAAAAAGAATGTGTTTGGAATTACTGAAAGCTACTTCATTACAGAGAAGTCCTTCCAAATCTTATGTTCATATGTGAGTGAGTGAGTGAGTGAGTGTAATTTTTATATGGAAATGTTGGCAAATTGAAATATAGATTAATATAGGTAAATATATACAGTCCTACAAATTATGCATCATGGTTTTTACTCTTGGAAATGTGAGCACCCTGATACATTTTAATTTAAAAATTATAAAGTGAATAAGCACAATCCCTCCACAGTTCATTATTGTGCAGATAAACCACTTCTAGCCTCTCTACTCTTGCCTGGCTGTAAATACTGTAATTGGGCTAGCTGAATCTCCAGTAGTTTCAGCCTGAGGTTTTGGTGGCTAAGTGGAAGAATTGCTCTATGATCAGGACCCACAAGCGAAGCAAGACCATCAAATTTATAGCATCTAGTTCTGTTGCTAAGGAATAACTGAAATGAATATCTGAAAGGTTTAAAGTCTATTTAAATTGTTGCATAGAATCCTGCTTACTCTCAAATAACTTCTCGTCTCTTTTGCTCCTCAGCAATTCCCAGAAGACATGCTGAAAGTACTCCTTCTAACAGGCAGGTAAATATAGGAAGGGGGGGGAAAATAACTTTTCCATTCTTGATAGCATTTGGAATTTGCCTGGTTGGGCAACCACACTGAACTGTGAAAGCATTCACAAAGTAGCTACCAAAGTCATCTCTGCAAGGAGAGAAACTAGCTACCAGGTTATATGATTCTCATTTTCTGCCACTTTCTTGACATTTATCTTCTCTAAACCAGTGAGAATTTAGTGAAGGTTTTTTTTACACCTTTGGAAGCATCTCACAGAGTCCAAAGCCTTCCTTTCTACATCACTCAGTGATTTAATTCCCTAAATATCTCTTACATTTTGAGCAAGATGGCCTGGAAACCCTGACTCTTAGAACTGTTCCAACCATTTATTTTGATTACGTAATTGTTGTGGCTATGCGCATGTGACTTACTCTTCGTTCAAATCCAAAGTTGGCTTTATTTTTCTCCCCTCTGGCCTCCTCCAGCTTTCCGGTCATCTGATAACATGTAAAGGATATAGTGCAATAGTGCTATCTTTTCTCTCTTTTTCTTAAAGAATTATTTGATCCAATATTTCTGCTGACTCATTTGCAATTATTTTAAAAGCTCGTCCTGTGAAGTGATAGCCTTGAAATGGCCCTAGCTGTACAAACCATCTGTTGGCAGTTAACTGCTACAGCAATGGGAGGCCATAAAGGGTCCTCACAGATGCCAAAAGGGGCTTTCATTAGGAGAGCCCTGGCTTGAAAGGAAGGCTCTAGAATTGAATCTGCCTCACACACACACAAAAAAAAACATTTAAAAAGGAACTACTTACCTTAAAGACAACAATCAGCTCTGTTTCCATTAGGGAATGAGCCATAAATGATCTAAGACTCAATACACACATTATGAACAGTGAAGTGGTAAATTGGAGCGATAGTGTTGTGGTCTAAAATGCTTTCAGACTGCAGGTGAGAAGTCATAGTTTTGAACGGCCTTCATTCGGTAAACTAGCATTTATGAAAAAGGACTAGGCTAAAATATAATTGAACAGAGAAAGACATTTTTTCTTTTCTCTATAATGTGACAGGGGAAAACATTTGTACCTGAGGTATCCTGGCTGCTATTGTGAAGTGGTGAGACACAGGAGATCTGAACGGCCTTATTTTCACTATAGTTTGACCTCTGAGAAAGAGATAGGTCTCATCTTCTCATCCACACAAATATAGGACTATGAATGGCAAATGCTACAGCTGATGCTGAAGGCTTCAGGATAGAATTATCTGTTCCCTGAAGAAGAGTTGGAAAACAGAGGAGGGCCCCTGCCCTGGATGGAGTAAGAAGACAGTGAAAGTGGATTTCTCCCTGTTTCCTCTGATTCCACAGAATCAGAAGCAGTGCATCTGAAGTTAGATCTATGGGAAGCTGAAGAGGGCCAACCTTTTGTTATTAGAAGATGGAGTTTGCATGCATGATTTGATAGTGAATAGCTATTAGGTGAGATTATTCTGCTCTGTTGTAGTTGGACATCAATAAGAGCATTTTTAGCTGGCCCTTGGTTGATTGGCTAGAAGCTAGGTTACTAAGTGGATCAGAAAAGGAGAAGATAAGAATAAGGCTAAGCCAGAGGAAGTATGGCAGGAAATGTTGCCATGAACTGGTTCATGGGAAGAGAGAAAATTAGTGCACTCTCTGATCCAGGGCCCCCTCTCAAGCCATGAGCCAGATATCCAGATTACTAAACACCTTGGATTTAGGTTACTTTTGAACATCATGTTTATCTGCAAAAAAAAAATCTAACAGCACAACACATGCAGTTGGCCACACATAAGATCTCACCTTTAACTTGAAGTGTATGTTATACGATTTAGTTCCAGATGATGTTACCAACAAACCCTTTCTTGTGATTAACCAGAGCCAGAGTCTGTGCAGGGAGAGGGGCTGATTTCAGAGAGCACATGATTTTCTCAAAAGTTAAAGGCTAATCCTGATGGATACCGTATTATTCTGAAATACAAATACTGTATGGCCAGGTTGCTGGACAGGTGTTTTTTTTCTGATACCAATAAAAGAGAAATGATGACATGACCTAGCCAGATAATGAAATGTCTGCAAGCAACAACCAAGCTCAGAAAATACGAAAGACTCCACTGGACTTTTCTGAGCTTCTCCTGAATGCAGAGTCTTTACCTGGCCACCTAACTTTGGGAAATGAAATAGACGAAGAGAAACCTGAAGCAACCCTATTAGAAAATAAAAAATTGGGGTGGCCAAAATAGGGACAATTCTGATTCAAGCCTATTCTTGCAACCAGGAAGCATTTATTAGATTTATAAGCTTCACAACTCTTATCACGACCCTATTTATGCATCTATGGAATGTCAGCCAACTGTATTGTTAATGTGGCTCAAACTCTCTTAGGAAAATATAGGCTAGAATAACCAATTGATGTAACTTGCAGTAACCTGGTTGAACATTTCGTGGATAATATCACTTGCAGAGGTGATGTCTTATTATGTTTTCTGTAAGCTCTGTAAACCTGTGAATCTCAGGGAAGTGATCTTAGCTCAACTACATGTGCAGTCTCACTCACTTAGCTGATTAAAGTGTCCATAAAAGAATTAAGAGTTGAATCCAGGCAGTAATCAAAAATGAAGGAGAGGTTCCAGGAGTTCTGAAAGAGGCACTGGTTTCCTCACTTCTTAAGAGGCCTAGCCTAGATCTTGAGAAAGTGATAGAGTTGCAATTATAGAGGTCTATATGGAGGTTACAAAGGTCTCTAGAGTCTAGAGGATATATGGCAGTCTGATTTCAGCCCCAGGCATGAGGTGAAAATTACATTTATAGATGGAATTTGTTCTTATGGAAGGAAAATTATTTATGTAGTTATTTACCATATTTATTTTTAAATATGATTTTAATTAAGCTTATCAAACTATAAACCACAAGTAAAAAATAAAGGTAGTAGAAAAGTGAGGAAGAGGGAAAAGGAGAAGAGGGAAGTATGAGGTGAAGAGAAAAGAAACATTAACTTCCAACTCTTTTTAGCACAATAGATTAAAGGCAATATTGCAACCTCAACTTTTTACTTTGCTTACTTAGTATATACTAGCTATTTCTGTAACAACAAACATTTCTATTTGGTAAATCCCAAAGTTAGTTTCATTTTTTTCTGTCTCAAACACAAAATCTAGAAGCAATTTCCAAGTAGAAACAAAAATTGGATGCATTCTTTTCTTTGATTAAAGCAGTTAATCTGGCCATGTCTCTAGCAACATCAATTTTTCCAGCTACTCTTCCATTGTGGGAATTAATGCATCTTTCCATTTTTGTACAAAAACAAAGTTTGAGATTTTGTTTTAAGCTCCTTGTCCATAAAACCTAAAAGAAAAGTCTCTGGTTTGATTTTTATATTCATTTCTATATTAAAAATCAAATCTTACTTTGATTTGTTTATCATATTTGTACAGCTGTCCATGACATAAGAAAATAACTCTGGGCAGTATGCAATATTTAATTTTAAAAAAATAAATGCACAAAAATATATGTACATTGTGGAAAAAAAGTAAATAAACCTGTAAAAGTATATTGATATTATTAAAAATAATTATTAAAAATCACAAAAACAAGAGATGATGATATTAACCACAGTAATGAAGCCATTGCAAAGTTTCTCCAGTCCCCTGTCCCCCCCCCCCCCAGGTCAGATACCATAGCCAGGTTTTGAGGGACTTGCAGAATGTTGGGAGGCGTGGAGCTAATTTCACTTCTGGAAAGGGGAAGGAGATTCCACAAGGTGGATGCTGCAGTAGAGAAGACCCGCCTCCTGGAACCCTCCAAATGTAATTCCCTGGCAGATGGGACTTACTAGGAGATCCAGTCTTGACAAGGGCAAAAGCGGCTGATGCTAGGACGAGGTGTTGGCTCTCAAAACCCTAATTCCGGCCTAACTGACCTTAAGGGTGGGTGTGGATTCTCCATCTCTGTGCTGAGAAAAGGCGTTCAGGTAAGACAACGCCCCTTCTCCAGCACAGGAGATGGAGAATCCACCAATGGGACATACCAAAGCCTCACTGTCCCAATGGGTGGGAAACAGAGGAGGCCGGACTTACAGCATGCCTTCTCTGCCAGACCTGAGTGGCTCAGCAGATGTAATCAAAAAGAATCAATCACAGAGGGAGAGGGAGAAGGAAAGAAAGAAAGAAAGAAAGAAAGAAAGAAAGAGAGAGAGAGAGAGAGAGAGAAAGAAAGAAAGAAAGAAAGAAAGAAAGAAAGAAAGAAAGAAAGAAAGAAAGAAAGAAAGAAAGAAAGAAAGAAAGAAAGAAAGAAAAAAAAAGAATCTGGAGAGCTTCAGAACAAAGCAACTGTTTTTCCACACCCATCAGATTTACTTTCCATCAGTTATGACAGTAGCTAGAGGCAATCTGTTCTCTTCAGAACTTTATTGCTTGCTGTTGAAACAAAGGATAAAAAGAGGTAATTGTTTGCAGTGCAAACCTTTGATAATTGATAGCTGATCATAGCAAGATCCTTTTGTGATACATTTAGCACTATGGAATATTCCATTCTAATTGCAATATATTTGTCTCAAAATATTACTAAAACTGTTCTTCCTTAGTTTAATATCACCATGTATACTATAGTAGCATACACATGAAATACTATTTTTCACATTTTTATTGACAGCCATCCTCAAAGAAGCAAGGCTGAACACTTCCTATCCAAGGCAAATCTCCCCGGACATGTGGGAGACTCCCTCACCAAAGGTCAATAAAGAGCAACCATAGTATTTGCACTTTGTACTTTAAATGTAAATTCACTTTGTAGAAATGAGATATTTAAACAGACATTTTTTTAAAAAAAAATCTGTGAAAATGTAGTAACAGCTTATTTTAAACAATTACCACATACAATGTATGTGTCTTTTTTTGTTGTCTGAAATCTATATGTCTTGGAGATGTAAAAGTTTGCATTTAATCTGTTCTGAAAAGAATAATGTTCTGTCTTGTAGAAGCTAGCCTTGTAGTATGTATATGTGTTTGTGTGTTTGTGTGCGCATACATACCTTTATACACGTACACACATACACATTTTCAGTAGAATTGCTTATTTTTATGTAACCGTTAACATTATTGAACCAGCTTGATCTGAAGTCTACTGAGCTCTCGAAGTTTCATAATCTATGCTTGAGGTTGCATGTTTTTAAAGCCCCAGAAAAGATTAAAAAGCATTGGTGATTTATGCACCTTATCTAAGAACAGAGATTTTAGAAATGTTTAGGGTGTTTTTATTGAAAAGATAAATACCTTTTCTTAAAGATACAGTTGTACACTAGGCTGCAATCACACTCTAGTTTGTAAAAAAAAACCCAAAAAAACACATTTTTGTCTTCTTCTATTTCCTATAATTTCTAGAGGGCAGGAGTATATGTTTATTTTAGTTTCTATCATTTTGTTTTGGGATGGTTTAATCCAGGGGTCTTCAAACTCGACCCTTTGATGACTCATGGACTTCAACTCCCAGAATCCCTCAGCCGGGCATGTTGGCTGAGGAATTCTGGGAGTTGAAGTCCATGAGTCATAAAAGGGCCGAGTTTGAAGACCTCTGGTTTAATCAGCCAGTAAAGGGAAAGAAAGTTCATTCTGTCACTCAGAGCTGATTCTGTTAAGCCACAGAATAGCAGTAAAAGGACCCATTTGTTAAGAAAGTAAAACAGGCTTGTCCGTCATCGCTGCTTCTTACACATGGACAGGCTAAAACAGGGGTAGGCAACCTTGGTTCTTTTATGACTTGTGGACTTCAACTCCCAGAATTCCTGAGCCAGGTTGCCTACCCCTGGGCTAAGATATGCAACTTTGGAGCCCCAGGTCTTATGAAGTTAAAACCTATAACTTGGACAAATTATGTACAGTTATGGTAAGGAGATGAAATTAGGCCAAGCTCTCCCTTGGGGCATCTTTCTTGCCACCTGGGAGATGATCTTACAAGTTTTCATACCTTTCCTTCCGATCTGTTGGAGGTAGGATTTTTCAGTTCATTTCTTGAATACCTTAAAGGAACAAGAATGTGTAGATGTGTCCTTCATACCAAAAGAACAAAGAATCGTTTTAAAAACTTTACCTTTTTGATTTTGGAGAGGTTTTAGCCAAAGAGACCAAATGGATAAAATAACTGATTGTATATATTAAGAAAGTAAAGAGGGTAGCTGTGATTGTTAAAAGTGACCAATATTCTTTTCAATTCATTAACAGAGGTTTGCTAGCTAATTATGTAGAATAGCTTTTGGTGATTGTGTTCTGATTTTGTCTCTATATTGTATTTATATCTGCATTTAAAATTGCCTAATAATGTGTGACTGGATGACTTTATTCAGATTCAATTTGAGCAATATAAAATGAGTTTTTATCCAGACGTTTGGGCATAAGGAGATAACCATATACATAGGAATGTTTATGTCTTAAAAAAAACCTTTTCTCACTTAGAATTTGATACTTTTTTATAATGCTAAACTTTGAATTTAAATGTTTTAGATTAAAAATATAGTGTGCTATGAAGTGTTTTTTATTGTCTGCAACTCATATAACTTTATATATTTACTTGATTCTTAACAGATCAGTTGATGCACATTCTGTTTCCACATAATATTATACTGGGTTTTTTTTAATGAACAACAAAGATTCAAGACCTAATTTATGGAATAGGCAAATACTTGATACAATCATCTAAGTAACCAATTGTGAATTTTAATATATATTAGAGATTGACAAATACTGGATTTCCATTAACTGAAAAAATAGTAAAATTCCACACCACACATGTTCCTAGTAACACTTGTTGCAGATGGTTGTGTGAATTTAGATTAATATGAGACACACAGATTAACACAGAATAAGCAGAGGTATAACTCTATTCTGTCACAAATTGCTTTAGGAATTATCCATTTCAACATTTCAAAATGTACCTATAGTTGTATATAGCTGTGTAGTTAAAAGACAGTGTACAAATGGAAATAAGAACAAAAGCAAAGCAGTTTTGTAATTAGAGTCAGGGAAAGAAAGAGACATTAGTATTCAATTACCAAGCCCCAAAGGGTACAAAAGTTTTGGCTGGGCAGTTCTGGGTGATCAGAGCTGATCAGGAATGAAATTTCAATCAATTGTAAATATTTTTCTAGCCTTACCATGATTGTCAGCATGAGCTGCACTGAAATTAAAATATCACTAAGACAGAATGAGGTTAAATGAGTTTTAAAATATATGAGCAAACAGGAGGAAGAAAACATAAGAAGACTGCTGACAGATTTCTTGTGCTAGAAGAAACAAATTAAAGATATCTAAATCTGGCAAGGTGACTCATTTCCCAAAGATGTTTGGCTCTTTATAGTCTGCCAGGAAAGACAGATTAATGCTGGTTACTCCTTGACAAAGGCAATTTAGAAATGCACCTGACATATTTACATTTGGATATTATGCAGTTAGAGCAACTTATATTAAAACTGGTGTCAAAAAATTCCTTCAATGTAGAGAGTGAAAGGTTTATTGCATTGGCTTAATTTTTTTTAAAGAAAACAAATTGATGTAATTAGGGAGTAATTACTTCAACATTAAATGCAAACAAGTTAACTTCATTGATGCCTGAAACATTAGACTGATTACAGTAAATGACTGATGTAAACTGTACTCACTGTCCCAATATCTTATTGCATTTTTCTTAACCAAAAGCATATGTGGAAGGCATTCAACAAACAGAACAACTTAGTTTTCTTTCTCTGTCAAAAACTTTTCTGGGTTGTTGATCTGTGTGATGCTGGCCTCCCTAAATAAATGCCAAGAAATGCTTAGAGAAATGGATGCTGCTTTTGGACCACTGCCAGCCAGTACTCAATGGTACTTCATGGACTACCAAGTCCAGAGACTTATTGTCCCCCTTATTCCCTGGACTTCTCCCTTCCACAAATAAAAACAATCTTCTTAAATTTCCTAATATGTAAACAACCCAGATGAAGCCTTACTGAACAACCAAGAGAAGACAAAGGTCTATTTTCTTATTATTGCTTCATTACTCATTACAGTCAGCCATGCACTACTAAGCTATTTGTGCAATAGGCATTTTTACAAAATCTGTAAGTTTGGTGGTTAGATAAGTAGTAGAGAAGCTGGTGGGACTCAACCAAATCTTAGCTAGTTGTTGTTTGGAAAAACTCAAGTGACTTCACTCCACCTGTGCTGGAAGTCCTATGTTAGTTGCCAGTTTGTTTTCAGATATGAAGTGGTGCTTCTTACCTTTACAGGCTACTATGGCTTAGCCCAATTTGCCCAAATAATGTGTTCCACATAACCCTCCTCCTTCCACTTGTGACTTTCTGAGGATGTTAACCCTTTGTTCTTGCAAATTAATTTCATAACCATTTAGGGTTGATCCTTTCCTTGCAGCTTTGGGAATAAACTCTATTAACTTGAGGATGCTCACTCATTTTTTTCAAATAGGTAGGTCTTTAATTGTGATTATACTGATTTTAACGTTGGTTTAATAATTGTACTGTAAACCACTGATAAACTTTGATAATTGGTAGAATTTAATAAATACATCTATATTCCTTCCTTTTGGTTCATCTTTCCTTTGTTTCCTTGGTGGTGAAATAAAGTAATTGCTGCTTTGCCTTAATGTTAATTCCGGCAGAGGAGAGAGAGAAAGAGAGAGAGAGAGAGAGAAAGGGGGGAGGGAGGGAGGGAGG